CACTGAGGATGCAATATTAGCGCATTACTTTCAACAGGGCTAGAATCAAAGAGCAGAGATGTACTGCTGATACTGTACACGGCTCTGGCAGACCGCATTTGGGACGTGGTGAGCTGTTTTGAGCCCCATATCTAAGGAAGGATGTACTGGCCTTGGAAGGGGTCTAGAGGAGCGGCTGAAGGGTTTGCCATATGAGCACGGTTGAAGACTCTGGGTCTGTACTCTGTGGAGTTTAGAAGGATGAGGAGGGATCTGACTGAAATTTATAGAGATCTGGATAGAGTAGATGTGGAGAAGATGTTTCCACAGCAGGAGAGATTAGGACCCAAGGACACAGACTCAGAGTAAAGGGATAAATCTTTAGAACTGAGATGAGGAGGACCTTTTCAGCCAGAGGGTGGTTGTGATGATGCTGTGGCTCTAAGAGGATATTTTGTCCCTTTTTTTTTGAAGACAGGTTGTAAGGCGGACGTGCCGAGCAATCTACCAAAACCACTAGAGTAAACATCTTGTGAGGAGAGATGTTAGGAACTTTGTGTTTTTCTGTTAAAAGTTGGAACAATGGAGGCAGCCTGGCTGGGTGTGGCCAGCGCTCACAGACCAGGCTTTCTAGTTTTCATTTAGCTTTAAGCTTCGCTTTAAGCAGTTGCAGCTGTCGACTTGAAAAAGTAGAAGCGATGTTTTCCCTCTCTCGGTTATAGCTAGAAGCTGGGGTTTCTCTCTGCTGCTGGGTTACCTGTGAGACAAATCTATTTTTCTGAATTTTCCTTTTCTCCAAAGGTTGTGTTAATGGGATGTTACTACATTGGAAAAGTTAACTGGTGATAGTTACTGCATCTATTATTCAGTTACGTTTTCGAATAGAGCTGTTATTCTAAGTTTTCTTTCTTTTGTTTGTATTTTAACTGTAGCGTTTAAATAAATTGTGTTTTGCTTAACATTGAGTAGTTTGACCAGTTGCATTGCATCTGGAACACAGCACTTCATATATGCCTTTAAAAATAAGGAAAAGTTGGGGTCTTGGCTATCTTGTTGAAATATTTTGAGGGGGTCTGGTCTGGTCCATAACATGGTGAATCTGTGGAACTCATTGCCACAGAATGCTGAAGAGGCCACGTTATTGAATGTATTTAAGACGGAGATGGATAGGTTCTTAATTGGTAAGGGGATCATGGGTTATGGGGAGAAGGTAGGAGAATGGGGTTGAGAAACATGATCGAATGGCAGAGCAGGCCCAATGGGCTGAATGGCCTAATTATGCTTCAAAATCTTATGATCTTATAATGTCCTTTGGGGTAGGAAATCTGCTGGTTTGGTTCACAGACCCAAAGTGATGCAGTTGATTCTAAACTGCCCTTTTAAATGGCTAAGCAAGTCACTCAGTTCAATGGAAGTAAAGAATGGTCAACAAATATAACCAATTTTATCTGCATTCCAATAACAAATACAGAAATTAAAAAAAAGAATACTGCCAAATAGAAAATGGCATCTGGGTGAACCTAATAATAACTGTCATTGTACTCACCGTGAGCTCTAGTTATGGATTTAAAGCAGTTTGTGGATATTTGATGCTGTATAACAGTAAGTGTCATTAAGTGGCAGCTCTGAATTGGGATATTGTGAAAGCAGTGTCACTCAACCAAGACATTCTATTTCGTTTATCTGGGAAATGGCCAGGAGCAGGTTTGTTCATGGATTGTAGGCAGCTCTGATCTCCAGAGAGACTCACTTTTCCTTTCGCAAAAGTGCCAGCTGTTTGTTTATTTGCCAAAAGGCGTTTCAAACACAGCCAGTTCGGAGGTTGCAGCAACTTCTGTACCCAAGCTCCCACACAGTCACCGTGTCATAGGGAGTGCTGGATGGAGATCCACACTTGGTAGCAGGCATGAGCGAGAGGCCCAGAAGGAAACCTTGTAAAAACGTGCAAATGTCTGCTACTGATCCAGGCTGGAGATCCGTTTGAAGGTACAGAAGAGCAGTTTGGACGATTACCAGTCTTCCTCGCTGTGGGCACTGTGGGTATAACCCTTCCCCAGAATTCCTACCTGTTCATAGTGACAAATTTTAACGTAACAGGACCGCGTGCAGATGTCGAATGTTGGCGGAAGGCTCATTCCTGAGGTCAGAGGCCAGAGTGACCTGTCGGCCTGTGTCAGCTCTCGCAGCACAGGGATGGGAATGCACATTGTAATGGCTGATGCACCAGCTCCACAGCTGATTAGATGCTCATCATTCCAACCACTAACTGACTACACTGGGGGCAACTGGAACTCAGAGACTGCAAAAGCAATGCACCCACTAATGAGCTGAAACCATACGCAATAGGCACCAGAAGACCTGAGAGATCTATGCTTCATTTTTGCATTCTTTCTTTTTTTGGCATCTACAGATTGAAATCCCTGGCAGAATGTACAAAGGCTAATACATATGTTTTAAATCCCACAAATCCTGTACAAAGAAATGGGGCATATTGGTACATTTCGATCTGCCCTCCCCAACATTATCAGGCTAGTTTCAAGACAGCAAAACACATCTTACATTATTGCATGTAGACAGATGAAAAGTCCACAATTCACTAGAAAGATCCCTTACACATCCTCTTGGGAATATTTTCAGTGGGGGGAAAACAAACTCATTCAAGCCAAAGACATTTTTAAATTCTTTCACAGGATGTGGGTATCATTAGCTGGGTCAGCATTTATTCTCCATCCCTAATTAGAATCCCTACAGTGTGGAAGCAGATCATTCAACCCATACCGATCCTCTGAAGAGCACCCAATCCCTATAACCCTATGTTTCCCATGGCTAAACCACACATCCCTGGACACTATGGATAATTTCCCGTGGCCAATTCACCTAATCTGCATGTCTTTGGATTGTGGGAGGAAACCAGATGACCTAGTAGGAACCCTTGCAGACACAGGGAGAATGTGCAAACTCCACTCACAGTCTCCCAAGGGTGGAATTGAACCCAGTTCCCTGGTGCTGTGAAGCAACAGTGCTAACTACTGAGCCACTGAGCCGCCCTTGAGAAGGTGGTGGTGAGCTGCCTTACTGAACTGCTACAGTCCATGTGGTGTCGGTAAACCAACAATGCCATGAGGGACAGAGCAACACGATTTTGACCCAACAACAGTGAAGTAACAGCGGTATAGGTCTATATCGGTATGGTGAGCAGCTTGGAGGGGAATATGCTGCTTTGGTTTTCCCAGGCATTTGCTGGCACTCCTTCTCGGTGCTAGAAGTGGCAGGCTTGGAAAATGCTGAAGGAGCCTCGTGAAGTTGTTGGATACACCATCCCGATGGTACACACTGCTGCCACTGTGCATCAGCGGTATAGAGAATAAATGTTTAAGTGGTGCAAGAGGCGGTGATTAAGGACTGTTGCTTTATCCTGTTGCTTTCTTCAGTGTTGTTGGAGCTGCACTTATCCAGGGAAGTATTCCATCTCTTTCTGCTTTTGTGCCATGTAGATGGTGACAGGCTTTGGGGAGTCAGGAAGTGAGTTGCTCGCTGCAGTATTCCTAGACAGTGATCTTCTCTATGGTATTTATATGGTTATTCCAGTTCAACTTCTGATCAACGGTAACACCAGGTTATAAGGAGAGGCTGGATAGGCTGGGACTTTTTTCACTGGAGCATAGAAGGTTGAGGGGTGACCATAGAGAGGTTTATAAAATCATTAGGAGTATAGATAAGGTGAATGACAAGGGTCATTTTCCTAGAGTGAGGATGTCATGTTGTTATTTTTAGGGTGAGAGGAGAAAGATTTAAAAAGGACATAAGGGCCAACTTTTTTTACACAGCGAGTGGTTCAAGTGTGGAATGATCTTCCAGAGGAAGTGATGAATACGGGTAGAGTTACAGTGTATAAGATGCATTTGGATAAGTACGTGAATGGGAAAGGTTTGGAGGAATATGGGCCAAGCTGAGGCAGGTGGGACGAGTTTAGTTTGTGATTATGGTCGGCATGGACTGGTTGGAATAAAGGGTTTGTTTCCGTGCTGTATGACTCTATGACCTAGAACTTTGACAGGAGGCACTGAAACACGCAATGGGGATAACTTGTACACAGTAGCAACAGCAATGGGATAGCGTGGTTTCTGTTTTTGCACTGGAGCACTATTAGCAAATTAATGGTGAAAAAAACCTCTTTGGAAAGAATTACTCAGCCATACTGAAACGAGCTTGATAGTGCAATACCGAGACAGTGCAGTCAAAACCACCTCCTCTGGACGAGATGGTAAACCTATTCAAGTGGATATAAAAGATTCCATGGAACTTAAGAAGGAGCTGAAGTTTTCTCCCTAGTGTCCTGGCCAATATTTATCTCTTAAGCAATATTTGTCATTCCTCCCACTGCTTTTTATGGAAACTTGCTGCGTGCAATTTGCCAACACTACAGAAACGTGATTAAAAATCAGATGCCAGCTATTAGTCAAGAAGCACAGGGCATGAATCACAGAAAAGAAACGTTCATCAGGAATTAAATCTGCACCACTCTTTAGAGCCAGTTAGCTCCATGGAACCCAACACACCAGCTCCCTTCTCTCTCTATTCCCATATCCCTGCAGTTCATCCTCCAACAATTCAAAAGGTGAAATCCATCTCTTTACGAAGACTTCCACAACATGATCAGCAATGATCGCGCGATATAGAAGGAATCAGCACCTTTGGAGGTCCTATTCTTTCAATGGGATATTAAACCATTGGTCTGTTCAGGTGGACATAGAAGATCCCATTGGATTATGGGAAGCAGTGCTACATATTTCAATACCAAACGTACGTAAATGAGTTTTCACAACTGATTGTAGGAGTTTTGGAGTCTGCCCAACTGACTTCGAATACTGGGCAGCACTCGCAATAAGAAGGTTGAGAATTACAGGTCCTAGAATTAGGTTCAATCCTGCTAGATAATTAAGTTAGTGAATATCTCACAAATCTGAGTCACACAGGCAACTCAGCACACATTACAGCAAACGCATGGTGAAGCTTGCTACCTCTTTGAAGTTCTCAAATGCTGAAAGGATGATGTCATGCCCTCCTCGCACCAAGCACACTGCGGCTAATAGTTCCAACACCAGTGCCTTTGTCCTGCACAAAGAAAACATGAGATGTTCAGTTCACATTCAGTCCCATCAAACAGCAAGCAGATTGTTGCAGTGGTCTGCTCAACAGGTAGCAGGATAGACACGTTACAAAGGAGATAACGGAGGGCTTTCAGAAGTTTTTTTTTCTGGGGACATGGGCATTCCTGGCAAGGCTGGCATTTATCACCCACATCTATTCTCACAAAGAAATTGGCGGCGAAACAACATTTAATGAAATCAGCTCCACAGTGCCATTGGTTAATAACGTATTTAAAATTAATTATTGTGCTTTGGCAACTTTTCCAACACATAGTCCATTTTTCACTTTTTTTGAGTGATTGCTGCACTGTATTTAGATGAAACAAAGCCTGATTGTGATACCTTCCAGGCTCCTCTGCACGGGCACAGCTTAGTGGGAACCATGTCACCACGTCCTCTCTCCTCTCCCCCAACTCCAGTGGGACTGCCTGTTCTTTTTTGTTTGGCAGTCAGAAACACCATTGTTCTACCATTCTCACATTTCGATCACTTTATCTGGACTATCAGCACCCTTTCTCCCCCTGCACTCCACCGCCACACCATTGCATAAATGCTGTCCCCTGTACACTTCACATCAGCTCTGATGAAGAGTCATCTAGACTCAAAACGTTAGCTTGCCCTCTCTCCATGGACGCAGCCTGACCCTTTGTGATTTCCAGCATTTTTTGTTTTCAGTCCTGGACACGACAGGGTAATTTAGCATGGCTATCCACCTAACCTGCACAGGAAGCAAATCCTGACCTCTGGCAATGGCTACCTTGTGGAAACTCCTGGTCGATGAACCCAAAGGTCTGCCCACGGCAAATCAGCCTGTTTAGTCACATGATTGCCCACGCGGAAACTCATGGCCCTCGAATAAAGGGAAAGCTGTTTGCAGAAAATGCATGACAGAGCAGATTTAGGAGTTGCTGCAGATGATGTCCTGGCAATTTTGCTGACGTACAACCTGGAGATGCAGCCATTGCACTTTATTGGTGAAGGAATTATGTTTAAGGTGGTGGATGGACTGCCAACCAAATAAAGCATGTGCCCTCAACAGTATCATGTTTCCTGAGTTGGAGCGGGTATTTTTATCAACCTTTGGGACAAGTCACATAGATGGCATCATGTCTTTCTGATGCCAGGATCTAGGTTTACCATTGGTTTGTTTTGCCAGGTGAAACGATTTTGTAATTGTGCCCATGGGTGAGAATATCATTTGTCCCCATATACAAAAGGGTAACAAAGGACAGGAGACTTGAACTACTCCTTGCAGAATGCTATTAATTAATAACAAGGACATAGGTTTTAGGTTTGATTCTGGGTTCCATCAGGATTGCAATAACTGCTGCATTATTACAACACAATTAATCCCAATGCCTCTGCATTTAGGAGGAATTTTTTTTTCCCCTAACCAACCTGATTCAGTGATATGATGACACAGTTCTGGAGCAGGTAGGAATGGGGCCTTGATCTCCTGCCTCAGAAGCAGGGACACTATCACTGCATTACAAGAGTCCCCACTAAGGAGGAAAATTAAATAAATTGCCCAAATTCTCGCATCTGATGTCCACCAAGCAACACCTGGAAATACAATGGCTGTGAATCAGTAGCTAAATAGAGTTAAACTGGCACTGCTAAAATCTCTGTGATTAAGAACTTGCTTGATACTCATTATCCTGGATGTCTTACCTTGCATTTTTATTGTTGAGGCTGAGCGTGATCTCATTCACACACTGCTCATGTTCCATCACCAAGGTGAATCCAGACTAAAGAGAAAAAAACAGCAGAGAATGGCAAGAGCTGACTCACAGTGTTTATTAACATCAATAATATTAAAACAGTTGCAGCACTGGACACTGAAATAAAAACAGAAATATACTTCAAAAGATCCACACACCAACTAGCATGAGGAAAGGAGAAGAGAGTGTATAGAACACAAAGAAAGGGGTCACTGTCCTTTTACTTCATAGGAGGAAAGATGTTCACATGCAAATGCAAAGGGATAGAATTTAATCACGGCCTAATTTAGCTGTGTAACCCTGAGTTTTCTAGCTCCTCTTGGGGTCACGGAGCAGGCTCGATGGGCCAGATGGCCCACTCCTGATCCTATTTCCTTTGTCACACCAAAGGGTAAATAATTCAGAGATTTTCTAATGAGTAATGGTGACTTACTTGGCTACATTCACTCTGGGAAAGTCTGAATAGTACAGGCATGAGGTCCGATCCACTTCGAGAAATTCAGGATCTGAAATGAGGCTGCTCATTATCACATGCAATTGGTTTAACTGAAAATGGTCTGATCTAAGAAACTGACCGACAACAGAGCAGCCTTCATGGTACACCTTAATGTGGAAACTGGTTTTCTGGACTTTGTACTCACATGACCCATGTTCACCAGAAATTTGTCATGGTTAAATCTGAGCCTTTTGACATTAAAATGGAGGCTAATTACAGCTCCAAACTCTGATCTAATTGTCCCCTGTCCTGTCTGATGACTACAAACTAATCTTGCTTAGAAACTCGTGTAATGGGCATTATAAAAGAGAAGTGTACAGACTAAAGGAATAACATAACTCGAGTCTACAGTTTTCCGCTCCTTAGGAAAATTCTGCCCTCTTGCCGGAGTTTGGCCCAGACAATAACATCCCTTTAATTTCAGTCCCCCATTGCTGTAGTTCCTCAGAGTCAGCATCAGAAGTCCAGTCAAGATGGGGAAGGCTACTTCTGTGAATTTGTACAGAATACAGGGGAAGTGAATCAGTTTTACCGAGTAAATGCCGGCAGGTTCCTGGTCTCTCAGAAGCCAAACTAGCATCAAAATGTTTTGTGGAACACACATGCATAATAAGAACACATATATGAATAAGTGTAGGTAAATAAAGTGTGACTGAGTGTGCACATCTATTTGTGTAGGTGCATGTGTGGATACACTCCAATGTGGTAAATGTAGTGATGAAAGGCTGAATAGGCTGGGACTTTTATCACTGGAGCATAGGAGGTTGACCTTACAGAAGTTTATAAAATCTTGAGGGATATTACAGGGTTAATGGTAGTTGTCTTTTGCCTAGCATGGGGGATTTCAAGAGAAGGGGCACATTTTTAAGGTGAGAGGAGACAGATTTAAAAAAAGACATGAGGAGTAAATTTTTGACACAGAGTGTGGGTTTGCGTGTGGAATTAACTTCCTGAGGAAGTGGGGATGTGGGCACAATTACAACGTTTCAAAGACATTTGGATAAGTGCATGAATAGAAAAGATTTGGAGGGCTATGGGCCAGGAACAGGCAGGTGGGACGAGTCTATTTGGGATTATGTTTGGCACGGACTGGTTGGAAGGAAGGGTCTGTTTCCATGCTGTATGACTCTGACTCAGTGTGTACACGAGCAGGTGAAAGTGTGTGTATGTGTGTGTGCGTGTGCGCGCGTGCATGTGTGTATGCGCATGTGTGTGCCCGTGTGTGTGCACGTGTATGTGTGCGTGTTGCGCGCACAAGTGATGAGTGGAGACGTACAAGAACAGTTATTTGTCATGCAGCATGGATGCAGATCCTTCGGTCTAACCAGTACACGCTGACCATGTTCCCAAACCAAGCCAGTCCCACCTGCCTGCGCTTGGCCCAAATCCCACCAAACCTTTCCTAGTCATGAATTTATCCAAATGTCTTCTAAATGTTGTAACTGTACCTGCAAACACCACTTCCTCTGGCAGTTCTTTCCACACATGAATCACTCGCTGTTTAAAGAAATTGCCCATCATGTCCTTTCTATATCTTTCTCCTGTCATCTTAAAAATACGCCCACTAGTTTTGAACTCCCCAGCCCTAGGGAAAATACCCCATCATTCACCTTATCTATGGCCTCAATGATTTTATAAATCTCAATAAAGTCAACCCTCAACCTCCTATGCTCCAGTGGAAAAAGTCCCAGCCTTTCCAGTCTATTTTTATATCTCAGAACTTCTATTCCTGGCAACATCCAGGTAAATCTTTTCTGAATCCTCTCCAGTTTAATAATATCCTTCCTATAATAGGATAACTAGGACTACACACTGTGCCCCAGAAGAGGCCTCACCAACGTTCTGTACAACCTCAACATGTTGTCTGATATCCTATACTCAAAGATCTGAGCAATGAAGACAAGTGTGCTAAACCACACTGTCTGTGATGCAAATTTCAAAGAATTATGTACCTGAACACCTAGGTCTCTTGGTTTGACATATGTGCATGTGCGTATCTGATCTTGTATTTGTATGGAGTTACGAGTGTTAATGTGTGTGTACACATACAGGAATGGGTGTGAACACAAGCAGATATGTACGATTGAGAGTGAACTTTTAGGTTCAAAACAGGGTCTTACACATGTGTACCAGTATGTGTTTGTGCTGTCACACACTCACAAAGCAAAATGAAGACCATGAAAGGCTGGAAGCAGTTCAAATTACATGAGGTCAAGTGTTCTGCATGATCACACATGCAAATAAATTCAGGCTAAAAATGTAATTGGAATTTAAAATGAAGTGAATTATAATTAGATTGGGAACAGGAAGGAGCTATTGAGCTCTTTTGTCCTGCTCTATGTAATCCAACAGATGGACACACCTACCTCTGGAATGAAAATGAAGAGGCAAACAGTGAGAGAGGAATAATCACATGTTCGTTATGCAACTTCCACAGCATTTTAAATCTTCGATCAACCAGAGTCAGCAAAGGCCAGGAATGTGTTAATTGTTTCGTTCCAACTCACAGAAGCATATCTCCGGCTCCAGCACAATTACTCTGTTTGGAAATTGCTAAATCCTATCTGAACTCTCCAGAGGGCAAATATTTGCCAGCTTCGATAACGCTGCATTAAGTAGAACATGCTGCCAATTAAACATCATCAAGATTTGCGCCTTAGCTCCTCACACGTCGCTGTCTGACATTCAATAATTACCTTTCCTTTTTTAAGCTTTGACTGAAATGAATAAGATTTAGTCCAATAACACATTTCACTGGCTACATCTCACAGCAGGTAGCGCTTTTGTTTGAAGGTTGGAGTGCTCCAGTTCTGCATCTGATTGCTGCCTCTTTCACTGCAGGTTCTGAATCATTGTCTGTATTGAATTAATCTCATCAATGGTGCCATCCAACACCACAAATTTATTCAGCAATACAAGCAAGTCCTAGGATAGGGAGAAGCAAAGATTTAAAATAGCTAAATGGAACAGATGCTGAGCTGTGGAGGAGGGGAGAGATTCCCAGTCACCAAAAGGCTGATGAAAAATTTTGTGAGATTTTTGAAGATTTAAAAGGGGCGTGTGGGGCTTTAGGGAAGAAATATCAAACAGTGGGATTGTGCAGCCTGTTAATGATTGTGGGAGGCAGGGTAAGGGGCTTCACAAAAAAAACGACAAGAATTAGCATTGAAATTCAGTGAGGTGAGAATAAATAATCGAAAAAACATTTTTACTAATTGGAAAGGAGATTCTGGTCCCCAGAGCTACTGATTGGTTAAGTGTTCGAGTGAAGTTAGCAGGCCTCTTTTAGCTAATCAGCATCTTTGAGAACTAATCTCCAATCAGAAGAGGGGAAATGGGCCAGGAGTAACGTCTGTTCAAAGAGCTGGAAATTGGACACAAAATGTGACATTGCACGGCAAAGATAATACAATAAGTGCAGTTCCAAAAAATAATCAAGGGGCTTGAACTATCCAGTACAGTGCAGCCTGCTCATTCAGCCCTCCATCCACTTCCTTCAGCATTCACTGCCACCATCTGGGCACAGTTACAGCAGTGAGTACAATCTACAAGATGCACTGCAGCACCTCACCAAGGCTTGTTCAATAACACCTTCCAAATCTGTAACCTCAACAAGGATTGCACACTTTTCTAATTTAAGATAACAAGGTGTGGAGCTGGATGAACACAGCAGGCCAGGCAGCATCAGAGAAGCAGGAAAGCTGACGTTTCAGGTCGGGATTTGTTTTGTTTATTTCTTAAGAATTTGACCTGAAGTATCTGCACTTTTGTACCTAAGGTGGCCCTGTAAGTGAGGCCACTATAAACTTTTCATTGTACTCATTTGAGTGCATGTGCCAATAAAGCTAATTCAATTCAATTCAATCCAAATTTCCTTCCAAACCACGTGTCATCCTGACTTGGAGCTATCACCAGCTGTTCACTGATACCAAGTCAAATCCCGAACTGCTGACTAACTCCGCTGTGAGTATGTGTTGACCACATGGATTGCAGTGGCTCTCCTGTAACCTTCTCAAGGGCAGTTAGGGGCAGGCAATAAATGCTGATCTTACCAGTGACACCCTCATCCCTGAAAAAATACAACTGGAGCAGAATTGTTTTTATTTTACAATCTGCAATTTATAAATCAGGAAATCTTTAACCTAGGGACCTCACTCCCTGCAAATTGCTCGCTGTAAATCATAACTAGGTTTTTGCGCAAACACAGGCATTGGACCAGGTAATCCACTATGTCCTATTCTGTGGCTGAAGCTGGGGACTGGGATAATGTGCTGTGTTTAACTTGGCTTGTCTTGTTACATCCACTAAGTGTAACAGCAGTAAACAGGAATTCCTGAGGTCAGATAGAGCATAACTGTTGGCAAGGAAAAGTTGTAGATTCGGAGGTACTTGTAAATTCTGGTCTTCTGGTTAGAAGAAACTGGACTCTCTCTCATTTGTTTCATGATTTTAAACATTTTGGAATGCCTTGTCTGAAATAATGATGAAAGATAATAGATAAAGTCACACTAACCTCATCAGACCACAGGTCTGCTCTCTCACTCAACAGAGAGAAAAAAAGATGGTAGTTTAACCCCAGGGTCACCACCCCTCACACAAGAGGAGAGATTGAAAAGAACAATCCTTCATGGTAATCTCAACCGATGTGGGAACTGAACTAACACAGTTGGCACCACGCTGCATGCAAACAAGCCATTCACATAACTGAACTAACCAATACCTATGACAGATGCATGCTGCACATGCCTGGCTAGATTATGGTTTTGTGCAGCAGTGTACAATGTTTGGTAGTGAGCCAGATGCCCAATTTACATTTCTGGCCTTTCTTATTTCACAAGACATCAAGCAATGTACAAATTCAAGACCTGTACAAAGAGCTATACACAGAGGGATGATGCCACATACCCAACCCTATAGGCTTAATGGAAGGGCCACCAATTATTCCTAAGCGGCTCCCATGTGGTTAGAAACACCACTGTAGATACAGGCACTTTTCGTTGATAATTTGGCAGCACATTTTGGCTCCGTCTCTTGCCAGATTCAAACATCCAGGAACCAGTGCATACAAGTAGCAATCAATGCACCAACATGCATTTACTGTATGCTTTTACTGTATATTGTATGAATGTTACTGTATTGGAAAAGTTAGTTAGTGATAGTTACTATTGTTCTGTTTTCCAATAGAGTTAAGTTAGTCCAACGCCTTCTTTCTTTTGTTGTATTTTAACTAGAGTAGTTGAATAAATTGTATTTTGCTTAATGTCAAGTAAGACTTGTTTGCCAAGCTGGGCAGACATTTTGTCACCCAGCTAGGTAACACCGTCAGTGCGCCTCTGGTAAAGTGTTGGTGTTCTGTCCCACTTGTTACTTGTATGCCTCGTTTTTGCTGGGATGGTTGGCATCACTTCTGGTTTTGTTTTTCAGTGGTTTATATATGGGTCCAGTTCAACGTGTTTGTTGATGGAGTTTCCGGTTGGAATGCCAGGCCTCCAGGAATTCCCTGCCAAGCCTCTGTTTGGCTTGTGCTAATATCGATGTGTTGTCCCAGTCGAATTCATGTTCTTCTTTGTCTTTGAGTATTGAGACCAGTGAGAATTGGTCATGTCTGTTGTTGGTGAGTTAGTGTCCGTGCATGCTTATTGTCAGTTTTGTTCCAGTTTGGCCTGTGTAATGTTTCTCACAGTCCTTGCATGATATTTTGTATAGTACGTTAGTTTTATTGGTTGCGGGTATGGGATCCTTTACGTTCAACAGTAGCTGTCACAGGGTGGTTGTTGGTTTGTGGGCTACCCTGATACCTAGGGGTCTGAGTAGCCTTGTGGTCATCTCTGATATGTCCCTAATGTACGGTAGGGTGACTAGTGTGTCTGGCCGTGTTGTGTCTTCCTGTCGCAAAAAGCACCATCTGCCAGTACCTCCACGACAGACCACAACAAGAAGATACAACACGGCCAGACACACTAGTCACCCTACCGTACATCAGAGACATATCAGAGATGTTCACAAAACTACTCAGACCCCTAGGTATCAGGGTAGCCCACAAATCAACAACCACCCTGTGACAGCTACTGTTGAACGTAAAGGATCCCGTACCCGCAACCAATAAAACTAACGTACTATACAAAATACAATGCAAGGACTGTGAGAAACATTACATAGGCCAAGCTGGAAGAAAACTGACAATAAGGATACACGAACACTAACTCGCCACCAAGAGACATGACCAATTCTCATTGATCCCAATACACGTGGATAAAGAAGGACACAAGTTTGACCGGGATAACACATCCATAATAGCACAAGCCAAACAGAGACATGCCAGGGAATTCCTGGAGGCCTGGCATTCCAACCGGAACTCCATCAACAAACACATTGAACTGGACCCCATATACAAACCACTGAGAAACAAAACTGGAAGTGATGCCAACCAAAACGAGGCACATAGGAAAAAGTGGGATGGAACACCAACGCTTTACTGGAGGCGCAGTGATGACGTTGCCTAGCAAGGTGACGAAACATCTGCAAGCAAACACACCAGCTCGGGGAGCAGGTCTATCACCTCACCCACAACCCAAGCTACAAATCTTCTCAAAAACCTTAATGTCGAGTAGTTTGACCAATCAAATTGCAACTGGAACACAGCACCCACATTTACCTTTAAAATTAGAAGACGTTACCTTCTTAATATATTTAGAGGGAGGTCTGGCCTGGTCCTTAGCACTGTGCATGAAGAGTTGTCTGTGACAGCTCTTTGCTCGTTCAGCCCAAGACTAATTCCATCACCTAATTCTTTTGTCGAAGCTACGTGTCTTGCTCTGCCCCTGTCATTTCCCTTTACTAGCTAAACAAATTACAATAGTCTCAGTTTTAACCCATCTCCGTGCTAAAGCATTCCATTCTGTATCAAGACCTTGTACAAAACAAAACTATTTCTATCCCCACTCCTTAACCTTACAATTTTTCAATTGACAAGCCTAATTATAACTTCCCCAATGAAGCAAATAGTCTCCCATCACCCTCAAAATCATTCATCATTTTAAAATCCTGTATTAAATATCCTCTTAGCCTCCTTTTGTTGTTTCACATTTTTGATATTCCATCACAGCATGTCAGACACATGTAGGCAAGATTTGGCAGATACGAATTATAAGGGAGACCAAGGATATTGATCCCAGATCTTGCTTTATGGCTGTAGCTTTTTATCTCAAGTACTCTCCTGGCAAGTTACACTGTACATTCTCTCTGCCTTTTCTAGGATTGGATGCCCCAAACTACTCAAAGTCAACCCAAAGAAGGGCAGGACAACAGATTAGAAAAATGTACATCATGTAGCCATCTGCATGGTTCAGCTTTGTTCTATTAATCTTTTGGTGCTATAATAACTTTAGAACCATTATTTTTAATTAGTACTTTTGCCATTTCTCGCAGAAAGCTGGTTTGTAGGTACAGCAGATAATAAGGAAGGCAAATGGAATTTTAGCATTTATTGCCAAAAGAATAGAGTATTCAAGTAGGGAAGTGTTGCCATTACTGTCCAAGGCATTAATGAGATCACACGTGGAGCACTGTATACAATTTTGGTCCCCTTACTGGTGGAGGGATGTAGTTACATTGGAGGCAGTTCAGAGGAGGTTCACCAGATTGATTCCATGAAGGGTTTATTTTATGAAGAAGGATTGAGCAGTTTAGACCTATACTCTCTGGAGTTAAAAAGAATGACAGGATATCCAATTGAGGTATAACACTAATGGGGATTGACAAAGTAGACAGAGAGAAAATTTCCTCTTGTGGGGCAATGTGGAACGATAGTCTTAGTTTTAGGATAAGGGGTAGCAGATTTAAAACCGAGATAAGGAAAAATTACTTCTCTCAAAGTGTCATGAATCTGTGGAATTCACTAAACCCGAGTGTATGCATTGCTGGGATATTGAGTGAGTTTAAGGAGGAAATAAGCAGATTTTTGATCAGTAACAGGTTGAAGGGTTATAAAGAGCAAGCAGAAAAGTGAAGTTGAAGCCTAGATGAGATCAGCCATGATCATTTCAAATACTTGAGGGGCTGAATTGCCCACTCCCGCTCCTAGCTCTTATATTCTCTTCAGTGACTTTCACCCACATATTGGAGAAAATCTTGCTTTCAATCATTCCTTCTCATTCGCTTCTAACCTGTCTAAACCTAAACCGAACCTGTGACTGAGCTGAAACGTAAGTTCAGATACTGATGCTGACTGTGCCATTCAGGATGAGCATTTAATCCAAACTGAAACGCCAGCGCAGTGTTACAGGAATGCTGCATTTCAACCCATCTACATCACTCATGTCTTTTAGCGAAGGAAATCTATTGTCCTTCCCTGGTAAAACCTACAGGTGACTCCAGCCCCACAATAATATGGCTGACTCTTAACTGCCCTTTCGGTAATTAGGGATAGGTAATAAATGCTGACTTAGCTAGCAACATCCATATCCATGAACGAATTAAAAAAAAAATCACTCTGGATGTTACACTAGACTGTATTGGGTGAGTCATTCAAGTTGTATTCATTTGTATGTTTTGATCGTGTTAGGGTTAGGGTCAGGGTCAGGGTTAGGGTTAACATTCTCTATATTAATAAATGTGTACACACTGGAACATAACTGATTGTATATCGACTGCTCGAACATAAAGCACTTGATAACATATCTTTTTACGAGATTTTGCACTTCGATTTCCAACGTGAATTAAGATTTGGAGATTTCTCAGCTCAAGGTCAGAATCTGTCATCCAGGCATGAATCCAACTTGATCAGCTTCACCTAAGATCAGGGCTTGAACCAGGGGCAGTTCTGAAGAGATAGGGATTACAGTGTGCGGCATACCCACTCACTAATTCAGAGGGGGAGATTTATCAAATTATATTTTCATTAGAAAACAAAGATAAATTCTTCATTGTAAAGAGTGATGCTCAAGAGATTAATAAAACTGACAGTCAGAAGCACACTGTAGAAGTTCCTGAGATGGAGTCAGGAAGGTACAGAATAGGAAACAAATACAGGAGCTCAATCCAATCTAAAGCCAAAACCCATACATTAGAGACCAAGTGGTTTCCTCTTACCTGGTAGTTCATGATGGCACGTAGACACATGATACAGACATGAACATCATCCTTCTGGCTCACAATCCGGGAGTTCCTCAGTGCTTTTCTACTGTGCATGGTGTGCCTGTGACAGACCCAATGAGCAGACATTATGACCTATGAGTTTCAGGAGACTAGATTTGTGTTTTTAATGCATGATTGGTAACGGGGAGAAAGAGACTGTGGAATCTGCTTCAGGCTGATGGCTGGAGGCTCAGTGACTTTTAAATAACCTGGGACGGTACTATAGACCGAATAGGGAGTTTGAAAATATCTGTGTGGATTGATAGAGTACAGGTACAGGAAATAGTAGAGGCGATGGCCTAGTGGTGTTACCACTGGACTGTTAATCCAGAGACCCAGATAATGTTCCGGGGGCCAGGTTTGAATCCCGCCATTGAATTCAATAAAAAAACTCTGGAATTAAGCATCTAATAATGACCATGAATCCATTGCCAATTGTCGGAAAAACCCATCTGGTTCACTGATGCGCTTTAGGGAAGGAAACTGCCATCCTTACTTGGTCTGGCCTACATGTGACTCCAGACCCACGGCAATGTCGTTGACTCTGAACTGCCCTCTGAGCAATTAGGGATGGGCAATAAATGCTGCCTAGCCAGCGATGCCCTCATCCTGTTGATGAATATAAAAAAGGTGGAATTTAATAGCAGGGTTCTAAAAGCAGAAACGGACAGGGCACCAATTCTGGTTAAACAGGTGTGATTCTAATTAAACTTTGAAGGGGTGGCGGGCAGTCACAGGAGGTGTAAGATTGTGACAGGCCGTGTTTTCATTGGTGAATGTTGCAGTCAGGTGATGCTTTGGCAGTTTGGCTACAAGGAGCTTCTCAGACAGAGACTCCACATTGTAACCCTAACTTTCCTATAGACCTCCTGTTCCATCAGCTCTTTGCTCCTGCATCCTCTCAAACCACTCCATTCTCCCATATTCCCACTCCTCATTATACTTTTCTGGTCAGGGCACTTCACTCCCATCACATCCGAGCCCCCTCTCCATTGTACCTATGTCTGAGCCTGTATGGAGGTCAGCCCCTCAGTCTAGCAGTAACCTCCTCCCCACAGGTTCTCAGGCAACAGCAGGAGAGGCATGGATAACAAGAGAAAACCTGGCCATGCCCTGTATCCCTCACACATCTCTCCATGGCCCTAGCATCCAGGAATGGCTCATGCACATTCAAAGCTTCCTCAGTTCACCCTGTCACAGTGCATGGCCAGGTGGCACAGTGCTACAATACCGGCTGCACAAGGTGCTCAGACCCAGGCAAAGCAGCAAAAGCACACTTTGAACAAGCCAGCTTGATGATGGCTCTAGAGGCACGCTCCTCCACTGCAGTGTTGGAACGCCTCATGGAGGTCATCCGCCTGATCCAAAAGTTGTAAAACTGAGCCGGACTCTCCTAAACTTCTGCAGGTTGCTCAAAACGTACTAGTCACGAGAGCACCTGAAGAAAAAGGCACATGACATGACTTACTGTCCATGTTAACAGACCAATTCCAGTCCAAGATCAAAGCAGGAAACCTCAGGCAGAAGGGAGGACGACTTTCTTCTTTCAGAATTTAGTGAGTGTCTCTTTTAGAGTCAGCACTGGTGGTTAGCCATCGAATATATTCAAGGTTGAGTTTGAGGGATTTTCAATTGGCAAAGGAGGCAAGGCTAATGGAGGGGGCAACAGGAAAGTAGAGTTAAGGCCACAAGAAGAACAGCCATGATTTTATCTGAATGGTGGATAGCCTCAATGGGCTGAATAGCCGAATACTCCTATTGCATGTGGCCTTATGACTCAGATATACTACAGGCTGGTCCCAGGGAGCTCAAATGGTGAGAGGAGTGCAGTTGATGAACTCTTCCCATCAGATGCTATAACGTCTCTGACTTAATCTCTACCCTTCAATCCATTTTCAAGAGATCTACATTTCGGCTCCGACTTAATTAATTCCACTGCCCACTGCGTTTCCCAATCGAACAGGCCCCATCAAGCGCTGCCCATTGTTTCCATTTTTGTGGTCAAGGAAAAAAGAGACCACAGAAAGAGAATAATTTCAAGCTGACGTCTGGTCTGTCTGAACATTTGACAATGAATTCAGGTTAAACGTGGAGCAGATTCCTTTGTTTTCTAATTGTTACCATTCACTTGTAAATAGAAGCTCAGCAAAAGAAAAATCAAAAAGTGTGCAACAACACTGGGGCAATGTATATGAACTTTACATCATGGCAACAGGTCAAATGGTTGCCATGATATTTTAAGTCTTATTTCTGGTATATTTCACTCATTGGCCAATGACAAGACGGTGAGCAGCCATAGTTTCTGCTGATGTCTGCAATGATAAATTCATTACTCACCCATACTGGAGAACTCTATATGTCTCTGGTAAATTCCTAAGGGTGAGCGACAAGTACAGATAAAGCATTAAAAAACATCACAGAGCTATGAGCCAACATTGTTCATAGCTGGGCTCGAGCCAGCCTGACTCTGTGGTGCACATGGACCATCTGCAAAGCAGGTGATTGACTACTGGTCAAGAAGGGGTTGGCCTCTTTGACTCATGCTTGAAGGCATTTAAGGGCAGGTGTCTGGTGCACTGAGATACTCATTTCCGAGACAAAGGCAAATGGTGATTTTTGTGGTTTGAAGGATCTGTCACTCCGCTGTGGAGTGAGGACACACACACACACACACACACACACACACACACACACACACACATATATATATATAGACTCACACTTGCACAACTGCACCATTTAGCCATCCTAAGTGTGTATCTAGGGAGGTTTGTAAAACAGTACAAGCAGCATTACATAGGGGGAGGTCAATAGATTGAACAGTACGTCATACAGCAGATCTGTGTGGACTGAACATCATATTACACATGGACTAAACAGGAGAACACAGTGGGTGAGCAGTACATCAAACATGGAGACTCTTAGGACAATTTCATCGCTTAGAGGGAACCTACATGGTTTATAGAATTTAAAGCAATACTGCTCTCTGGTTAGCTTTTGATTTTTTTCTTCATGTACCCACCGAAAGAAGACGCGTCCCCAAGAAGCATGAAAGCAACACAGAAAGAGGTTAATATTAACACATCAGCTATACAACTGCTGAAGCTCATGAACTGTTCTCGTTGAATAAGACCTGAGCACATTGATTAATAAGCATGAACACAGGACTGACTTGTTTTGTAGAATGATTTGTTACCCCGAACTTGTGTTCCAAGATTATTTTTTACCTCAGATGTTTCAAATGTATCTGCTGGGCCTCCTATTTAGTGTTCACCCAGGCTCCACCTTCTAATGGGGCTTCTGCTGGATGTTATATCATCAATAATGAGAGCTCAGCCTTCTGTAAGAGCATGTGGGGGTGACAAGGATTAACACATTACTTAATGCAAGCTGTGTTTTTGGCATTCCAGAGGCCTTACCTATATCAGTGTGGTTCAGGTACTTCCAGCCAGTAAAAGGGTGGCCGGCTGCCCCATGACACGCTCGTTTGTGGATTAGGGATTGGGGATTGTGAGTGCAATGGGAGCAGTGATCTGAGATGGCAGGAACAGCAAGAAAATTAGTTTCATGTCTCCCAACCTATTTACACTAATGGCTGAAATGGATGGCTTGGGGAAGCAATAGGCCTCACACCTCTGCATCTCTGGTGGGCTCTTGTGGTGCCATGTTAGTGCCCCTATCTCTGAGCCAGAATCATAGAACCCCTACAGTGTGGAGGCAGGCCATTCGGCCCGTCAAGTCCGCACAAACCCGCCCAACAGCATCACCCAGAGCCACCACCCACTACGCTATTCCTGTAACGCCCATTTCCAATGGCCAGTCCACCTAGCCTGCACGTCCTCGGACACTATGGGCAATTTAGCCTGGCCAATCCACCTCACCTGCACATCTTTGGACTGGGGGAGGAAACTGGAGCACCCGGAGGAAACCCACGTAGATTCAGGGAGAATGTGCAAACTCCACACAGCCAGTCGCCCGAGGGTGGACTTGAACCCGGGTCGCTGGCGCTGTGAGGCAGCAGTGCCAACCACTGGGTCATGAGCCATCATGCCACCCAGAAGGTCCAGGGTCAAGTCCCTTCTGCTGCAGAGGTTGATGAAAATAACTGCAGTGATAGGAGGAGGGGACAGCAACATTTCTTTATATTCAGCTGTCTATCATGTTAGAAGGCTCAACATCAAAGTGGGCCATGGTAGCGAAATAAGACTTTGGCAAAAAAGTTGCTGTTCATTTACTTTTATTCACAACTCACTTGAAGATATCTTCAGGGTAAAAAGCCTATTTATTTTCATTAGATACTTGCAATCATACAATACGCCTATCTGCATTATTTAATGTCGGGTCTCTCATTGTGCAGCCGAGCAGGGAAGATTGTACTGTCACTGTGTCAAGTGGATAATGATTGAAAACAGAGGGTTTCACCGTGATAAATTAATGACTGGAAAGCACTGAAGGGAGGGCTGGAGAAACCACATATCTGTGCCTGTGATTCAAGAGGATTTAGCTGCCCTTTCAGACCACTTCAGCCATGTCCTCTTTGGAGGAAGACTCTGGAGGTTGCGATGCACCTATTTGTATCAGCAGATGTGATCTGTTAAGTTATGACACAATGTTAGCACTAATTCCATCACTGAAGTTTGCTTTCTCTTACAGAATTAAGGGGCACAAGTGTCTTCGCTGTCTCAGCAAATTGTCCCCATCTCCTGTCATTGCTTCAGCAAAACTCGTGGGGAAATGGAACACATGGCTGAGGTTATGTCACATTTGTATCAAAAGTCTGGATCCTGGTGATAAGGGCCTTCTAATATGTAAATAGACAGGGGTAAGTTGACTTTGTGTCTATGTAAAACAGGTGATAGTAAGTCAGGCCCAGGTTTCGAACCTTTGAAGTGAATAAAAAGAAAAATGAGGAAAGGCATAAAATGGTCTTTTGTTTAACGGGTGCCCATTTTTGCACAAAGTCAAAATGACCCCAACAAAGTGCTAATTGTCTTCATCTAATCCTCTCCTCATCCTTCAAACAGTTTTAATCTTGAGATCTTGACCTTGGTAGGTTTGAAAGAATATCCATTGACAGGAAAATTATAGCCCTGTCTCCAAACCGAGCAATCCCTCCAGAGACACCCCAGCAATACCTGACCTGTTAGACTGGTTTGGAGGACCGGAGGGGGCAATGAGTTGCCACAGTGTCCTGTTACTTCCCGCACAGCAACAGCAACGCCAGGACAAGCCGGATGCTGCTCCATCCCAGCCTGGCGTCTCTGGTGAGCAAGGAGCAGGCACTGGGCTTACGTCCCCTGCCCAGAACTGCAGGCTAGGCGGAAGCTTCAGGTCCGTGGCTAGGCCCGAGTGCCTGAAGGAGGAGAGGTGGCAGTCTTGGCACAGTGTGGTGCTCTCCCGGTGTGACTGTCTTGCCCCGGCATGGTGGTCTTGTCCCGGCATGGTGGTCTTGCCCCGGCATGGTGGTCTTCTTTATCTTCAGCTTCCAGGTGTTCCAGCAGCCTGGCAGGTGGTGTCTTCTAAGAGAGGCAGTCTCGTCCTCGAATGGAGGTCTCGTCCCAGAATCACGGCCTCATCCTGGCTGCGCCTTCACATTATTCAATCATTCTTTAATCAGCTTTCCCTGAGTTCAGGAGTCATTGGCTGAACTGTGATGAGCTTTGTCTTAGTTTTACTTTTTTAAAAATTATTATGTATGCCTTCTGTCATTGATGAAGGCACTGTGGTGCGGCAATTTATAAAACTGTATTTTTCATGCAAAAGTTCATGTGACAATAAATTTCTATTTATATTCTATTCTAATATGATCCAGATCAATGTGACTAAGATCTCTTTCCTCCTCTCTTTGATTTCAGTGAAGCTCGGTTTAGAATGAGTTCAGCTTGCCTTAAACAACTTTCTGTGCGTTGTGCACCTATAGCACCAAAGTGCTCTATTCTGCTACTAAACCCGTGGCTTCACTCAGACTGCACAGGAAGTGGAGCAGCGTGGGCCCCTAGTGGAAAAAGTGTTACATTGGCCCAATCCTTAAAAAGTAGCTTTAACCCATCATTCGTGCACCAGATTAGAGAGCTTTATCTCTGCAGTTACCACTGTGTTCTCAATATCAGCACTAACGCAGTAATTATTCACCATTGCACTCTGATGGGTGTATGAGTTGCTCCAGTGGTTCACTGTCTAAAATGTACAACTGGAAGTTACACCCACCTTGCCCTCCAAAGCTCATGCAATCATTTCAAAGTGTTCTTATTCTGTTACAAAGTTACAGACTAAACACAGGAGAACAGATTGTAACTTTACATATGCCAGATTCAGAGTTTCACTGGCTCGAATTTATAAAACCACCCCAAAACTTTCAGAATACGGTAGAATAAACTTGACTTACAAAATATTGTTGTTAACCTAGGAGCCCTAGTAGTTGGCAATTGAGCTTGCTTTGGTTTCAAAATCATCCTGCCACACTACTAGTTGGCATTAAATGTTTCCAGTCAAACAAGAAAACCAATGGCAGAGCGATCATTTAAACCACTTTGAGACCACACCCCTTGTCCCCTCCTCACCTGACAGTGAGATGACGGCCACTAGTTCTGGATGATCCATGGGTAGGTGAAGAGTTGCTTCTACTGAGGTCCTCCACAGATCTGTCTAAGGGTTTGCTCTTTTCAGAAACAATTCCTCCATTGTCTGTGCTCTCCATGTCGTGCCTGAGACATGAAGAAAAGCAAAACAGGACAAGCCTTTGGTTAGATCAGAAAACACAAAACCTTCGCCATTGTCCTGAGTCTAGCATTCCAGCTCTCCCAGAATGAGGTGCCCAAGACTGCTCAAAAGAATAAACTGGACAAATAGTAACTCTTTCAGCTCAAATAATTCATGTCTGGGTGTATTCCACTACAATGGTGAGCAAAAGGGTTTAAATTTAGCATCCTTCATTTACACATACACCAACATCCTGCTCACAGTTGTAACCAGCTGAAAAGAGATCCAATATTTTCATCCCTTAAGACACACCAAACTACATTCATTTTGCAATTATGCTAAATTAGAAATGGTTATAGATGAATTGCATTTATCAACTATATGTTTTTAAAAGCAGAATTTTATTTTTTAAAGCAGTATTAATACAGAGACGTCTGTGGAGAACAGAATGTTGAAAGAGTTAGTATTTTGAGAGCCCACCCGCTGAGCATTAGTCAAAAGTACCTTTCAACATAACTCAAACTCCTCACAAAATTCCATGCAGTTTCTTTAAATGATCTGAAAAACAAGACGGGAGTAGGTTGTTGAAATGTCAGTACACGGTTCACCAAACTGAGCTTTATAGACTGAGCTGGGCTAAAGAAATGCTTTTATTATGGTCAACAGGCAATACACTAATTGTGCAGGCCACTGTCAGCTCAAGTGCACCCACGGACAGATAGGATTAGTTTAGAATGGCATCATGGTCAGCATGGACGTGGTGGGCCGAAGGGCCTTGTCCTGTGCTATTCAATGTTCTTTCTCCCATTGCATCCCTGCCTGCCTTGAACTTACCCGCAAACCAACTCAATGCTAACTATTTCAGCGCCAGTGTGGCCTGGCTTGTTTAATGGGGTGGGAGGAATTTGTGGGTGAAGTGAGGCCATAACATAGGGTCCAATTCAACTTTCATCCAATATCCACACATGAACACAGGGGTTAAATAAGAGGAACACTGGCTAACTTGGAGATAGTTCTGAAGAAGGGTCCCAACCCGAAACGTCGACTTTCCTACTCCTGCTGCCTGAGCTGCTGTGTTCCTCCAGCTCCACACTGTGTTGACACTGGCTAACTTGTAGTCCAAAGAATTGAGGGTCACTGAATGCAAAACATTATTCAACCTGAGTTAATTCACCACAGATCATGTCACTCTTTTCAAGTAAGTCATTAATGTAGGTTCTGCATGTAAATCTTTACTTATAATTATCGGTACCCTGTCTATTCTATAACAACAGGCTTTCAACAATGCACACTTCTGTGAATAGAGACCCTATGAAATATTCCTCCACTTTAAAAGTGAATCTCTCTGCAGTATATATTACTGAATATAGGAAGTCACTTTTCTTTACTTCTGATGTATTGTTTTCTTCTTATGCTAAAATATGATTTATTTCACAAGAATTTTTTAATGCAAAATACGACCAACAAACAGATTGAGTTTGGGCTTCAATGCACCACTGTTGTCCCAGGATAATCAAACTTGACTCAATTGGAGATTGTTACAGTGCACTACATACCAGTGCAACTCCAAATAAGGGCCATTAAAAAGCCATGGACCTTAAGAATGATGTCCAATTGGTTTATAAAGGCCAGCAGAACCCAGAGATTGAATGAGTGACCTTCAGCTTGCTGCCAGTTTATGTTGTTGTTCATAATATATGCCAGCACTATTTTTAATTTGTTTTCTTACAGCTAACTAGCAAAGGTGTCAAGCTGGCTGGTTTGAGTGTAACAATGTAGTTGATGGATGTTAGAAGTAAAAGCCCTCATGTAGTTTTACGATATATTGGTTATTTAGTGCCTCATTATTTTTTTTGCCAGCAGATAAAATATTTAGTATATAATTTTAATGCTTGCTCAACGTGCGTGAGGCAGTTAGTTGCAGTGAAAAATAACAATGCTTAATAACTCATAACCACTGAGCATTCAGCAAACTTGGCATGTTGCAGGGCACTTTCTGAATCTCTAAAATAAATAGATGTGGCTCTCTGATATTAATAGTACATTGCAATGGCTCCTTCACTCATGTAGCACACTATTAGACGTCACTCACACTTGCAGGTGTCAGAATTATTGTAACAATCACAGTCTAAATTTCTCTCCTTGCCATTCAAAAAGAGATGCTAATTCAACTGCAAATATGACTTTCCTCTTTTAAGTGTGTTAGTTGCTCATATGGTAACATCACAGACAGTAATTCTTGTCCAATTAGAGTTTTTCTAAATATGAAAAGTTTTTTTTCAGAAAATCATAGGGAAAACCAGTAAAAAAACACTAATAATTGGAAATGATTGCACTGGTCATAATGATGCCCCATTTTGAGATGTACAAGACAAGTTAAGGCTAATGCAATTGAGTATGTCCATAAAGACTTTCATCAATTTTTATAGATGCAACCTAGAAAGCATTCCATTTGGATGCATCACAGCTTCGTATGGCAACTGCTCTACCCAGGACTGTAAGAAACCAGAGTGTTGTGAATACTGCCCAGGCCATCACTCAAGGCAACTTCCCATCCACTGCATTTATACTTCCCGCTGCCTCAGGAATGTAGCCGGTATAATCAAAGACCACTTCCAGTTCAGTTATAATCTCTTCCAATCTCTGCCGTCAGGCAGAAGATATAAAAGTTTAAACCCATGTACTAACAGATTTAAGGACAGCTTCTTCCCTGCTGTTGTTAGACTTCTGAATGGACCTCTCAAATTTTAAATTTAATGTTGATCTCGCTCTTTGGGCACCTTCTCTGCAGCCATAACATTGTATTCCTCGCTCTGTTCTATTATCCTGATGCACTTTGTATGGCCTGATCTGCCTGCACTGCAAGCAAAACAAAACTTTTCACTGTACCTAGGTGCATGCGACAATAATAAATCAAACCAAGTCAAGTATGTGTCATTTTCCAGTTTTACTGTTTCTTCCTTTTTGGATATTATAATGTCCATTTTAGTGCAGAGTTTTCAACTACCACACATGAGGAATATCTCTTGGGAGACAACCATTTTCATAGTTTAGTTAGTGGTCAGTTTCCAGGGAGCCCCCTTTTACAAACATCTGACTTAGGAGCGCTCGTACTTACGGAAGTGATCCATACATGGTTTCAATTTTTAAAGACCTGACAATTGAACATTTCCTGTACTAGAAAATAGCTGCTTTACATGATCCTGACTTGAGTTCTGACCTGTGTACAAATTAACTTGCGAAAGTATTCCAGAATGGTACCCGTTTGCAACCCAGGAACCTGCATGAACCAAACTGGCAATGGTAGCCATTAGATTGGTCCTTATCTTACAATTGGTTAGTGGATCTCAGGTGTACTGCTGATGGGACTACATCAAGTGGGTCCACAAGACTTTGTTAACAGTGAGTATTTCTACATTTTGAATGTTACACTGTCCCAGGTCACTTCATAGCAACATGATAAGCCTTATGAGGCAATATGAAGGCAGGGAAACAAAAGCTTGGTCAAAGAAGAAACTTTTGAAGAGGGTATTAGCAACATCATTTCATATTTATATCATACCTTTGACATGGCTATATATCCCAAGGTTCTTCACAGGAACATTATCAAACAGACATGACACCGAGACACATATGGAGATATTAGGTCTAATTACTAAAGGCTTTGTTAAAGGAGCAAAGTGAGGTGTTGAGGCATTGAGAGGGAATTCCAGCCCACAGGGATAGACAACTGAAGACACGGCTATCAAAGATTCAGTGATTAAAACGAGGGATGCTCAAGAATTAAATGAGCGCAGATATCTTGGAGTGTTGTGCGAATGAAAGCAATGACAGAGGTAGGAAAGGATGAGATTTGTAAACAATGATGAAAATTTCAAAATCAAAACTTTTGTTGACCCAGCGCCAGCAAAGACCTCTCACCAGTGTGTTGGGTGGTGAGAGGTGAACGGCTCATGGTGTGAGCTAGGACATGAGCAGCTGAGATTTGGAAGACCTCAGGTTTACAAAGGATAGAACGTGGAGGTCAGCCAGGAATTCACTATAACAGTAATTTCCAGAGGGAACAGAGGCATGGCTGAGGGCTTTTCAACAACAGCTGAACTAAAGCAGGTACGGAGTTGGGAAACGTTACACAATTGGAAACAGGCAATCTTAATGATGGTACAGCTACATGGTCAGAACGTCATCTCAGGGTCAAATGTGACACCATAGTTGCAAACAACCTGGTTCCACCTCAGAAAGTTGCCAGTGAGAGGAATGCAGTCAGTGGCTAGGAAGCAAAAAGTGCAGTGGGAACCCAAGAAAATGGTTTTATCTTCCTAGTATTTATCTTGGAAGAAATTGCTGCTGATCCAGTATGTAGAGAGTAAAGAGGTAAAGAAAAGTGGGAAATTGGTGAAGGTAAATAATGCATCCTTGAGAGATAACAGAGGTAATAGTAAGGGAATGGGAAGGAAAGCCATGATACTCTGACTACTGGCTTTTTAACCGTGCTGGCACAGTTAGAAACACTGATGAAGTAATTTTTGGACAGTAAGCAAAAGGTAAGAACAGAACCCAATGATTGCAGTTGCATCTAATTGGATGATGCTGATGATACATTGAAGGACAATGTTGTGATTAAACACTGCATACAGATTGAGAAAAACAAGGGGGAATAGTGTCATGAAGGGGCAGGGAACATTTCTGATTGTTATCCAGGAAAGTGCATTTATGCAGAGGTTGGGCAATGATGGAGACAGTCCGACACCTTCTCATTGTTAGCCTTATTTATGAAGAACACAATGAGATACTAGCGCAGTCACACCCTAGCATGAGCCTCAGAGTGGAAGAACAGATTGTTGGAAGGGAGAGATAACAGGCGAGACTTTTATGAAGATTGATAAATGGTCAATTCGGGAAAGTTGGTGACTTGGCTGACCCATCTTTTATATTTCACCATATTTTAACTCTAGGCACTCAGGTAGGCAGATGAGGAGGCTGGAACAACTGCCTCCATTCTCTGGGGTATCGGCCTGTTGTTTTTTTGATGTACGTATGATGTACCCATCATACATGTGCTCTGTACCTCCTCAAATCCCACATCCTCCCTCATATCACTCATGCCCCCTTACACTGCTATGTCCTTTCCATGACTGCTCATTTCACACATACCTCCTCATGTTACCATGTCCCCTCTATGCCCATTCATATTCCCCTGCCCACTCACACCCTCTTTGTGTTCCTCACATATTTTCAATGTCACTCATGTGGTCAGAGGTCAGGATGTCTTTGAAATTCCAACAATCTAATCAAGCTGCCATTTAAGCACACTTCATATTCACAAAAAATCTTATTCATAAAAGCTATCCAGAACAATACTAAACCCACACAATCGGCCAATCATTTGTAAAAACAAATATTTATTCATTAAAGGTCATTTGCTTTTCATTAACATCTGAAAACTCAATTAAAATGTGACCACAGACCCCTGCTGAGATATATGGTTCTGGAGCGTTTGAAACTTTAGTCAAGAATTCGTAAAAGGTTATGTTACAACAACAAATGCTAGGAAATGA